TAGGGTTTAGGGTCCTGCTCCTGAGCAGCTCCGGTGTTGCTCCAGGATTTTTTTTTGGGGGTTTTGTGTAGGGTTTCGTGTGGTTTTGTGGGGGTCCGTAGGGATTTTTATAGGGTGGTTACAGGTTTTCCATGAGGTTCGGGTAGGGCGTGGAAGGTCCCTTTATGGGGTGGGCTTCTAGCGGCTTTACTGAGAGCTTTAGCAGTGTTCTTGTTGCGGTTTTTGGTGTACTAGGTTCCTGAGTAGTACCCTTTTGCCCTTTTTATTTTGGGGTCTCCTAATTAAAACCGAATACTAGGAAAAAGGGTACCCTTATTATTTAGGGGTCACTCAGGAACCTAGTGTAAGTCAATTACAAGAACAAGATAAGGTTAGTCTATACTATGTGCTGCTGGCATGGTAGCTTAAGCCAAGTCCTTTAAGGAGCATTCAAGATTATAAAGGCCTTGCAAGAACCCTGGACATATCGCATAGAACCGGTAGAATACTATCAAACCCTTTCAGACGCCCTTTTCACACCCTTACAAAAACCGTTTTTCAAGCCCTTACATAATCCTTACCGAGACCCTCATAGCATAGGGTCTGAACAACTAGGCAATAATGTCTCCTTTGTCGTCCCCATATCATCAAAGATTGAATTGCTATACACCAGAATCCCATTCCAACTGCTGCAACTGTAAACCAGAAAGTTGGAACATTAGTGCCCTCGTGCCCTTAAGGCAAAGTATAAGGGATCCGAGCACGAATCCTCCTAAACCTATGTCCATCCAACTTTCTGGGATTCGCTGTGAACGCTTTCAGGCTTCTTTCCCTAAGCCCTAAACCCTAAACCCCTAAACCCCAAACCCCTAAACCCTACGCCCTAAACTCTAAGCCCTCAACCCTAAACCCTAAACTCTAAACCCTAAACCCAAAACCCTGAAACCCTAAAAACAACCCTAAACCCTAAACCCTAAAACTTCACTGTAGTCTATTATGAGTCGCTGTAAAGCCCAGGTTCGGCAGGTTGCCGGAGGTTTGCCCCCAGGAGAAGCTTCTGGACCTGACTGGCCTGGATTCCTTGGTGTCTGGGCTCGTAATATGGGTAATTAGGGTTTAGGTTTTAGGTTTTAGGGTTTAGGGTTTAGGGGTTAGGGGTTTAGGGTTTAGGGTTTAGGGTTTAGGGTAATTCTCTAAATTGGGGTCCCCTTTTTTAGGGTCCTGTTTATATGGGTGCCGTACTATATCGGGGACCAAACTTAGAAAAATGGATCCTAATTTGTGGAACTACCCATATAGAAGCCAAAATGCAAGACACAGTGCCATTCTCAGGATTCCTGAAGGAGCCCAGAACCCCACCCTAAACCCTAAACCCTAAACCCTAAACCCTAAACCCTAAACCCTAAGGCCCCTACATTACGTTTTGGGGTAATGGGTTCGGGGTTCCAGGCGTTCTTGTTCAGGAACTTACCCTTCAGGCCTTATGAGGATCTTCGGGTTTAGGGTTTAGGGTTTAGGGTTTAGGGTTTAGGTAATCAGGCTAAGGAGCTGAAATTACAGCTTACTTGCAAGATACCGTCATAGTGGTATACGGGAAATGAGCCGCTTTTGTTGTTAATACGTTATTCCGGTCAAGTTTACCTTGAACCCTAAACCCTAAACCCTAAACCCTGAACCCAAACTCAGTTCACAAGAACCCAGGTGTCCCCCGCGGTGGCCTTTGTGGTCTTGGTCCTGGTCCAGCTCCTTCCCATTAAGAACATCGGTGGCAAGTGGTTCACACCAGTTCCCGCACCGGATGAGAAGGCATCCTCCAACGAGCAGCCCGAAAATGCTGAGATTTGAGGAGTCCCTCTATTGCCCGCATTTCTTTTTCCGGAAGATTCTTAGGTCTTTTCCCACGTTTTCAGTTGTGTCAGGCAGTTGGCCTGGTATTTTGATCGGGTGGAGCCCACAAAACCGCGAAGAGCTGCCTACTTCAAGGAGCGACAGCACGGCAAAAGCCGTGTCTGATCCCCTTCGACGTGGGCTTGCTAGCTTTATTTGTCAGAGATCCTGAGACCCTTCCACGGTGCGTCGAAGACGTGTTCTGGGAGAGACTCGCGAAGAATCTCAACCTCTAATGCCAGGTTGAAAAGGCATCCATGGCGAAGGAGTTTTAAGGCTTCGGATGTGGGGTTCATAGTTTGTGGATTATACTTGAAATAGGTTTCTTTCTAGCCGGCCAATTACAACAGTGAGGGAGGTAGCATGGCTAACCAGACGACTAGGCCCTAACCCAAACGCATAAGTCCCAGACCGTCATATGGGTAGTTCTCTAAATTAGGGTTTGTTTTTGGGTCCCCAAGAAGTACGGCACCCTGATAAAAAGACCCCAAAATGGAGAGAACGACCCATATGGTTCAACCCCTTCCCCACAGCCCGACGAAGATCAGCGTCACGCGACTTGACCAAGCTGCATGTTGCGGTTTGGCAGGAGACATCGGTTCTTTAGTGCGGGCTTAGGGATTAGGATGCAGATTGTGTGCAGTTGTAGACATTCTAGCCACAGGTGTGCTGGTGGGAGTAAGTGCTGCCGACATGTACCTCGGTGCGAGCGTATCTTATGGATGATCGAAGCCGTGCTAATAATTATAGGGACCTAAATAATTACCAATACTACTTTGGGGGTTCCTTATTATACGTATGGTCTAATGGACCCCAAAACCCTATTCTAATTATCAAGGCCCCTACATGACTCTCTTATGCACTTCAGGGTTTAGGGTTTAGGGTTTAGGGTTTAGGGTTTAGGGAATGCTTGCACATGAGCAACTACTGCGAACAACCGTTCCGAAGCCTATTTTCCCCCATTTTCCGAAGGCAAAGAATGCTGGTAATATAGGGGCCTTAGCAATTACCAACATTATTCTGTGGGTTCCTTATTATACGTATAATGGGCCTCGAAAACCTATTCTGATCATGAAGGCCCCTTCATTATTGCTTTGTGCGTTCAAGAAGATTCGTATCGGGGCAAGTTGAGAGGGCCTTATATCGGTGAATCCAGCTCCCCCCCCAGCCCTCAATGACGAGCCAAACAGAAATTTCAGGTCACTACCGTAACCCCTAAACGCAAACCCTAAACCCTAAACCCTAAACTTTAAACTCTAACCCCTTATTAAACCCTCATTACAGACTAAACCCTAGAATTTAAACCCTGCGGATCTTCCATGAAGCTGAATGACTCCAAGCCTGACGCAGTTTATCATACACCCTTCTGCAGCCTTTTGAAGGACATGAAGCCGTTCATGAAGAGTACACGGGCTCAACGCCCAAGCTTCCTTTTGTTTTTTCTGTCCTAAACCCTAAACCCTGAACCCTAAACCCTAAACCCTAAACCCTGAACCCTAAACCCTGAACCCTAAACCCTGAACCCTAAACCCTAAACCCCGCTTTTGTTTTATTTGATCTCCAGCGCCTGGGGTGCTGAAGCAGAAGGCCCTAACGGGCCTTCGGGACGGGGGAGAGGGTCAGGGCTTATTTAGTGTTTTAGGGGTTTAGGGGTTTAGGCGTTTAGGAGTTTAGGGTTTAGGGGTTTAGGGGTTTAGGGTTTAGGGTATAGGGTTTATGGGCCAATTTGGGTTGTCCCGTTTAGGGTTTCGGGCTTAAGATTCAGGCAGCACCTAAAAGTAGAACCTCTTAACTCAGAAGCCTGAAGCCTTTAATGTGCTGAGCCCTGCTTAAACCGGGACCCTAACTTGGAGAACTACCCTTATAGTACCCGTACCCTTATAGTACCCTTCTAGCAACCCATATAGATCCTTTAAAAGGAACCCTATAAAGGAACCCTAATTTAGAGAACTACCCATTAGGACTTTGAGGGTTTGCATATACTTTAAGAATATACCATAATCTACCATAGTACACGGTAAAATACTATATACCATATTCTACTATAGTACTCTACGGCTTTAGTATACCATAATCTGCCAGGGTACCCTATGATAATCTGATATACCATATTCGACTGTAGTATACCATGGCGTTAGTATACCATGATCTATCATAGTATAACCCTAAACCCTAAACCCTAAACCCTAAACCCTAAACCCTAAACCCTAAACCCTAAACCATCATGTGCTATCGGCCCTAGGAGCCCCGGGGTCCTTGCCTAAAGGAGCAGGGGACCTGGAAAGTGGAGTCTAGGGTTCCGAGTTTAGAGTTCATGGGTTTGGGTTTAGGGTTTAGGGTTTAGGGTTTAGGGTTTAGGGTTTAGGGTTTAGGGTTTAGGGTTTAGGGTTTAGGGTTTAGGGTTTAGGGTTTGGAGGTCAGTGTTCAGGGTTTAGGGTTTGGGGGTCAGGGTTTAGGGTTGAGGGTTTAGGGTTTGGGGGTCAGTGTTCAGGGTTTAGGGTTTAGGGTTTAGGGGTCAGGGTTTATGGTTTTAAGGTTAGGGTAGGAGTAGGGTCAATGCCCTGACAGCCCAGATTCAGGCAGTACCGCCCTTGCGCAAGAAGTCTGAACTCCAAACTCAGAGCCCTACGCCCAACACCCGAAACCCCAAACCTAACCCCAAAACCCAAAACCCAAAGCCCTGAACCTGCAGCTGGGAGACTCCGGTGCACAGAACAGAGGTACGCCTTACCTTAACCCTACCCTAGGGCTCCAGTTACCTAAATAGTAGGTTACTGGGGTACATAATGTATGGTTAGTAACCTACTGTTTAGGTAACTGGAGCCCTTGGGCTAGATAATCTACATTTTTTCAGTTTCGGATGAAGAGGCTACCTTAAGCTTAAATCACCTACATTGTTCAGGACTTGTATAAGGAAGTCATCTTAAGGAGCCCTAAAAAGGTAGGTTTGTTCGGGTCCAGGTAAGCCCGAAACCCTGAAACCCTAAAGACTTGAATCCTGGCGGGCCGTGGAATACGAATGCTAGCTTTTTTTGTTTTTCCTGGTCCTTTTTGGGTTTAGGGTTTAGGGTTTGGGGTTTAGGGTTTAGGGTTCAGGGGTTTTAGGGTTTTGGGTCTTGGGGTTTAGGGGTTCAGGGTATTGGTGTTTAGGGTTTAGGGCCTTCGGCTGCGGGTTATCAACTGCGCCAGGTCACGGCTGCTTGCGACGTAAGCAGATGCAGGCGCGAAGCGTACCGCCCATCTAGGAGTTCATGAGCTTTGAAACCTCTGGGCCGCATCGTTTGAGTTTGGCTGACAAAGTGTACCACAGTGCGGGAATAGAGACACGCAGCCTCAGCACTGCGGCTCCTAAAGAATAAGAGTATCTTCGTTTCTTTTGGGCGTCAGCAGTCTAGCTCAGTGTTCTGCAGAGGGAGCCCGCATGGTGTGGTTCGAGTAAGTCTCTTGTCATGTGCCCGGTTCTCCAAGTTGTATCAAGTTGTTACAATCTGGTGCACCGGCGGAGAAACGGTTCCAGAATGCCACAGGGCAATGCGACTGTACTCAAACGTGGAAGCAGTACTAGACCCGTCGTGGTGCTCGTCAAGAGAACCATCCTGTTGTGAGAAAAGCGGTCTTAGCACAGAGCTTTTGCTAGTACCCTTGGACAGATTCAGGAACATCTCTGCGGTGTGATGGGCAAAGACAAAGTCTTGCATGATCCATAGTAAGACCCTTACCAAAGATTCCTCTTGCCTAGGTTTAAAAGTAATGCACGGCACTGTCCAGCAGCAGTGTCACATTTTCGGCATCCCGACTTTCAGTTGTGGGCTCTGCAGCAGTAGGAAGACGTCTTTGATGCATTTTTGATGCTCAGCATTTGTGGCTCAACTTAGTCCGCCATCCCGATCGCAAACCGCGCAGTGCACAACATGAGTCGCGCTGTGTCCCTTTGCGCTCTTGCCGTGTTGACTGCATCGGCATCTGTCTCCAGCGACTGCTCTTCCTCGCGTGAGAAGAGCGGCAGCAGCCTCAGCAATTGATGTACTCTGATCCCTGTTTCAAGCTTTGGGCCACCCTAAACCCGCAAAAATAAATCCTGAACTGCTGGGGCCAAGAAGCCCCTGGCAATGTGGTGTTCAATGCCTTACACCCCAAACCCTCGACCCTACACCCTTCACCCAACATTCCAAGAGCGAGGACAAGGGGGTCTGTCGATGCTGCAGAGGCGCGACACCGTGGCTGGGCCAGTCTTGGGGCTCCTTCGTTCTTTTTGGGTTTAGGGTTGAGGGATGGAATATCCGCAAGAGAAAGTGCGTCAGACACATAAGCATCCTGCCTTGGAGGTACGAGGGGTAAGGAAGAATCTTGGCAAGGGGGATTCCTGAACATCTCAGATTGTGGTGCAGAACACGTGTGTTCGTAGTGACAAGCTTGCGTAACGAGAACTGCTAAAGCGAGGGTCGAGCGAACATAATATGTTCGCAGCACAGAGGCCCGAGTGCAAGCAGTTCGAGTTAGCTTTTCGTTTTCTTCGGAAACCGTTCGCCATGGCTGGTTCGTGGGGAGGAAGCAGTGAGATACCCGACTTGTGGGCTAGCTTGCACACGGTGATGAACGCGGAGTTCGCGGATGTGGAACCGTTGCTGGACCGCTTTGAGGTCGCACAGCTTACGGCCTTTCACAAGAAGTTGGGCCTCGCTGTCACACGGCAGTTCAACGCCTCCGGTGGTGGTCGCGACACCCCAGCAGCGACGGGTCCAACTACAACGACCTCGGCGAGTTCGGCAACAAATTTGGGATGGCCAGCACTCCTTCGGGAGCAATGTCGAGTTCGCCCGCAGCCCCTAAGCCTGGTTCAGCAGCGGCGAGTTCGGCTACGTCACCGGCAGATGTCAAGGCCAAGCAAGTGACGCCCAAGGCCATGCCGAAACCCCTTTCGTGAGGATGCTGTTCGAGGCGAGGGGTGTGGACGTCCGCGGAGTACTTCACCACTTGTTCGGAGACAGAAGCAAAGTCCAGGCGTTCGTGGAGCCGCTCAGGGCGGGAGTCGAGCTTAACGGCGAGACTCGCCGTAGGACCGCCGACGAGATCGTCATCGACCAGGCAACGATTCTCGAGTTGTTGGACGTCATCGCCGAGTCTGAGGCAGCCTCAGCACCAGCACCGTCAACGGCTCCCGCTTCTAGTTCGCCAGCTACTACGAGTTCGGACAAGTCGCAGGAGCTTTCCTGCAGGCTACTAGAACGACTTTTGTGGCGGACTACGAGTCGGTCACAGTAGACGGCCGCCCTCGCAAGTTCCCCGGTCACCTCTTGATGGGGGCAGAGAAGACGTTGGGCCGCATGGTCGCCGAGAAGAAGTCCGGCATGTACACTGCAGTTGCTCTAGGGCAGGTTCTGTTTTCGCGGCACTTCACAGTGTCCAGGCAGGTGAACCCCTACTCCGCAACAGTCAAGCCGGAACAGTCGACCAAGCTGTTCGCCTCTGAGGACGGGACCCTTTCTAAGGTCGCTAAGACGGTGCCGGAGCCGCAAGAGCTCATGACAATGCTCGATGCCTTGGAGGCCAACAAATTCGCCTTCATGGTGGGGCTAAAATGCCGAGGTCGCCGATTACTTCACGTGGTGGCAGGACCTTGTCCGCGACAGCCCGCAGAAGTTCCCGCAGATCCGTAACTACTGGAAGAAGGCGAGCTGGGAGGTGGCGATGGCACTCCGTTCGCACCGCACCTTCGCCGAAGCGGTCGCAGAGGTCGCCACCGCACAGGCCAGGCAGGACGCCCTATCTCGCTGGGCCCCCCCGGATCGCCCCACCAAAGCGACGGGAAAGGCAAGAACAAGTGGCAGCGGCCGACCCCGTACTGGTCGCAACAGCAAGGCACGGCTCAGACGGGTCAGCCCACGCAGTCCCGTCAGCCGTGCAGGTTGTTCGCTCAAGGGTACTGCAAGTTCGGGAGCAGTTGCAAGTTCGCCCATAAAGGCAGGGGGGCAACCAAGGTAGCCTTCCCCCCCCTCCCCCCATCTAGGGACAGCTCGGAACGCCTCAGCCGTCGGAGGCGCCACCCGTCTCGGCTTCAGACGGTCATGTCTTTCTAGTTCGCAGCAGTTCTGGGTTTCTACAGCACTCCTCTGCGGTTCGCCCAGGTACACCGGACCACAACCACTCCCGCCTGCGTTCGCAATCCGAGCTGCGATGGAAATCCATGGTGCGACAACATGGACTATGTCACGTGGTGACTCGTCTGAGGATCTGGAGTAACAGATGGTTCTCGCAGGAGGCAGATTGGGCAAGCGGAGCACATTATTAAAAGGAGCATGTGCTCGTCTTGCAAGTAGAGTATTGTTGCCGAGTGCATGCTACACCCCAAGGTGCCCGAACAACGCGGGGAGACTCGACTGCAGACATGAGGTAGCCCTCCCAACGGCTCCTCAGAGCGGGTGTAGGGCAGTTTGGGGTTTTCCTACAAGTTGATGTTTAAGCTTGAGGGATGCATTGACAGGATTTTCAGAGGTGCGGGTACTCAACAAGCGGCATCGCTAGCTCCGAACTCATATGGGCTGTTTCTGAGTTGGGTTTGCTTTGTGGCCCCAAGGCAATACGGCGCTTTTGAAGCTGGAAAGGGGGGCCCAATCCAGGCAGCTACTCCTATGGCTAATCATGAGCTAAGTTCATGGCAGGTTCCTTCTGCAAGACCCCAAAGTTTATCCGAAGACTTTAGCTGTAAATCTCGACCCAAAAGTCTGCAAGAGCCATGCAAGAACTCTTCAAGAGCCGTCAAGGAGCTGCCCTTCACCGATGTGCATGCGCCGCGGTGCCACCACCACAGCCACCCCCGGCGGAACTGAGACCACGGTCAGCGCCACCATGCCGGCAACGACTGTCACGACGACGCCCAGCGCATGCGGCCTGGCACTGGGTGGCGCCTAAAACCCCCCAACCCGAACTACTACAAGAATAATTCCTCGTTTGGCCTACACCCGAAACGCCGAAACCGTAAGCCCGAAACTCCAAACCCTAAACCCTTTAACCCCAATGCTTAAGCTCCTAAGCCGTAAGCCTTATAATTCCTAGACTCAGGTACTGCAACAGCGGAGGCCAAAGCGGGGGGCTTCGGTGCAAGCGACGCAGACGCTTGGCATCTTCGCTACGGGGGGTCCGCTTTACGGTCTAGGGTTCAGGGCTTAGGGTTTAGCGATTAGGGCCTGGGGTTCCGGGGTTCAGGGGTTCAGGGGTGAGGGTTTGATTAGAGAATAGGAGCTTTGGGTTTAGGGCTTAGGAATTTAGGGTTCAGGGTTTAGGGTTTAGGGTTTAGGGGCAGTTCAGGCCTCCGGCAGTGTAGTAGGGCTTCATGGTTTAGCCCCAAACCCGTCCGCCATAAGCCCTACTCCCCCATCCCTTTAAACCCTAATCCTTAAACCCTAAACCCGAACCTAAACAGCTCTGCGGAAGGGTATTCAGATCGATCGCGGTGCCTGTACCTGCTTGAAGAGGGCTCTAGCTTAGGCGAGGGCTGTTTTGTCTCGGTTTAGGGTTTAGGGTCTAGGGTTTAGAGCAATTGCAATCGTGTTTGTAGCGTATCTTATAGGAAAATCAAGAATGTTCTATAGATACTGAAGGGGCCATAAGGGGATACTCTCAGGGCTCGCAGGACCGAAGATCAAGTGGGGTCAAGTTCCCATATCAACAGCACGAAACAACTTGAGAAAATAGACCCAGACAGCGTAGCCAATCCTCAACCCTACACCCTAAAAGCCCCCAAACGTACGTATACATTGATACCTGCATGTGGGCATGTGTACAGAACTCGAAGTGTGCCATAGAAATATCTGCGTTGCAGGTTAGGACAAGGTTTGGCGTGTAAGTACGGCAGTGGGCTCAGGGAGCTTTGGTCAAGGGCAAGTACAAGTCGTGGGTTTTCCAGCCGCTCCTCCTCAACTCCAATCTCAGAAGGAGAGCCCAAAGGCAGCAAAGTACCACGAGCATCCCAGACCCGATGTCTTAAATCCGAAACTGCCGCGAACCCTGAACTTTAAACCTTACATCCCAAGCCTAAAGTTGATAACCTTTAGGCTTGCACTGCAGCTTGCCAGCGCCTCCCCAGCGGTATGTGGCCCTGCGGCGACGGAGGCGCTTCCGGGGTGTCGGGGCGTTAGGGTTAGGACGGTTTCGGTTTTGGGTCCAGGTTTGTAGGGTTAAGTGTTCAACTTTTGGGGTCAAGGTTCAGGGCTTTCAAGGATCTTGCCGTCGGCTTGGGGGTCTGGGGTTTGGGCAGATTCCCAAACTACCTCACCTTCTCGGCCGGTTCGTGAGGTTTCTGCAGACCTTGCAAGAGACTTCAAGCACCTCCTGTTCGGAGACCTATGCTACGCCTTTCAAGGGTTGAAGGGGTTCAGGTTTAGGGCTTGGGGTGCCGGACGAGGGGGCTTTGATAACCCTAAACCCTAAACCCTAAACCCTAAACGGATAACATGGGGGAGGCAGCGATCGCAGGCAGTGGTCTCCAAGGCAGAAAGTTGGTAGATTTTCTGGAGTACCATACTTGGAATACCATTTTTTGTGGCCTCTTCCTCAAGGGAACCATTATGAAATTAAAGTCTATACTTTTTTCTCCCTGGTTACTTCAAAGTCTAGTTTCGGAATTTTCAGATAACTTGAATCCAAGCCTCGAAACCATTTCGTACCCAGAGAACAGCTCAACTAGTTCTGTGCCTGGCAGGCCCTTGCGTTTGCTGAACAGATCTCGGTGCGCTTCTGTGCAGAGCTCGGCATGCGCACCAGGAATGCTTCGAGGATTTGGGTCTAAGGTTTAGGTCCTGAGCCCTCCACCGCTTTACCCTGCAATCCCTACAGAAACGAGGCCGTTTTGTTGAGGGGATGCCTGCGCGTGAAGAGCAACCCGCCAGGTGCACGTGAGAAGCAGATGCAGAGGCTGTGTGGTCGTGCTGGAGAGTCCAGAGAATATTCCCGCTGAGGTTTTGGGGCACGTGACAGGGATGGGCCCACACATTGAAAGCGCTCTCGGAAAGCTTTTCTCTTCTTGCTTTCCCTTGAAAGTGAAAGCCGCGATATGCCCAGATCCAATCTCTGGGACTGCAGGTGCTTCACCTGCCGCCGCCGCCACCACGTCGGTGTCAGATACTTGTTCAGTCTCTTGTGGCTGTCAGGTCTTGGTAGCATCCGGGCCCAACAGCCTTTGTACAGTGCATTGAACCTACAATTTTGCATAGCGCTTTCTAGCCGCCAGGGTGCAAGTAGGAGAGCTCACAGCGGGCACACCTAGTGCCAGCGATTGAGCTATATCCCCACTCAGGTGGCTTGGAGGTGACCTCCGAATTCATCGCAAGTTTGCATTGCCTCAGCGAGCTGTGAACAGGGCGGCAGAGCCTAACCATTCCTCTGCAGCTGCGCAGCTCGTACCTCACTGTATCGAACCTAGTAAGAAACGTTTTCGATGGTGTTTTTCAGGACAATTTGTGGGACCCGAGGGCTTCGCAGGTGGGTGAAGTACAAATGAGGTCCTACTGGAAGAGTACTTGGAGGATCATGGGACTTAAGAATTGGGGTTATAATTCAGGCAACCATACTTATAACCCCAATTTTAGGGGACTTCTAACCCTACTTACGAAGTCCCATGATCCTCCAAGTAGAGTCGCTTCAATCAGGGTGCGGCATAGTCCGAAGGGTCCTTCCAAACCCCAGACTGGTTACAGAAAGCATGGCCTCAGCTGGGGGAATTAAAGCCCGGATGAGAAACCCGCTTAACGTAGGGGCCTTAATAATTAGAATAGGGTTTGGCGGGTTCCTTATTATAATTATAGTATGATAAACCCCCCAAACACTATTCTAATTATTACGGCTCCTATATTACTACTTACCGGGCAGCTCGACATGATCGCGCGCCAACTCCCAAACCCGATGCCCTGAAACCTCCAGGAGGCCCCTTGACCTCAAACCCGAAAAGTGTATAAGGGATAAGGGTTTAGGGTTTAGGGTTTAGGGTTTAAGGTTTAGGGTTTAGGGCCCTGAAACCTCCAAAAGCCTCTGCATAGTACCTTATAAAATAAACCACTCATGGATCCGCTTAATGGAACCCTAAACCCACACCTAAACCCTAAACCTCGCATAGAGCCTGTATAGGACCTTTCAGAGGAGCCCTAAACCCTCGATGCCCTCGACAGCCGAAGTCTCCATCTCCCCTGGAGAGGTCCGAACTTCCGGGTCTGCGATGAGCAACGGGAGGACTCGGGTCTTAGGGTTTTACGGGGTTTCACAGGTTTGTAAACCATAAGCCCTAAGCCCTATGTAAACCTTCAAGATTTTACAGGGTTGTGTGAGGGTTGCAGTGGTTTCACAAGGTCTTAGGGTGCAGAGTTTAGGGTTTCAGGGTTGTGCAGGGTTTGGAAGCGTTACTTTTAGCTTTTTCTAGGGTTCGAGTATAAGTTATAAGTATTCTTTCAGACTTGTTTCAGAGTTCTCTGAATTTTTGGGTTTTACAAAGTTTATACAGGCAGGCCGTTGAAAGATCTTCGTTTTTTTTATTCAGGTTTTACCTGATATTTACGGGGTTTTCATAGGATTCCAGAAGGGGTTGCTACAGGGATGTTATAGCACAGTACAGTGATCGTTTCGGCTTTGTAAGTAGATTCCAGAACTGGGTTTCGATCGGAATGGCTCG